TGAATTGCTCTATTTTGATTTACTATTTAGCTACCTGTCATTTTACTTAATTTTTTAAACTTTAAATCTCTTTACATTTTATTCAATTTAGATTATTACTTTATTCATTATTTTTGTACCATTATTATCACCAGAAGTGCTATTAGTCTCGATCCTCACTTTTTGTCCACATTGCTTTTCAAATAACGGGATGTTGCCACCAAATGTTGTTCCATGTCGTATTTAAATAAATAATAATATCGCGATTATATAAAAATATATTCGAACACTTAAAATTCTTCCTGGAATTCTAAAGATATGCTGTTTTAAATATTTTGTGATTTTTATGTGGAACTGTATGTGGTCTAAGTGCAAAGAAATGATGTTTAATTAATAAAGTTAAGGAGACAAAAAGGTTAACAATAAAAAGAAGCAAAACTCGCTTTTTATCTTATTAAGAAACCTAAAGGTTGATATGATAAACTAAGAAAAAGACTGAATAATGGCAATAATTATTACTGCATCGGAAATTCTAAACATATTTTGCTTTCAGAAAGTTTGAGAGTTTGCTGTTGAATTTTATGTGGCGCGTAAGTGTGAAGAAAGTGACATTTATGTGAAGAAAGTGACATAAATTATGTTTATTAGTAAATTTAAAAATACAGAATAGTTATGTAGCCCATCTTGTTCTGAGGACTGATATGATGAACTGAGAAAAGACTGAAAACAAGGTATAAAAATCCATGGGGAAGCTTAACACTGTTTTGAGAGTACTGATAATAGGCTGCTTTTAAAACGTGTTGAATTTCATGTGGCGTTAAGTCCGAAGAAAGTGATTGTAGTGCCTAATTCTCATAAATTGAAGTAAAAGTGAGTAGGAGGTGGAATATATGAAATATATGTGTTTAATTCTTGCTGTCTACAGCTGTACACGTATTTTGCTTTTTCTTAAAAATCACAAATCTTTGATCTTCACAAAAAGAACTCTAGGAATAATAACACAATTAGAACTTCAGAAATCGCTAACAACACCATTTCAAAAAGACTAAATCATGACAATGTAAGCTATGATTGACAAAGACAGTCAAATTTACTTCAGCTGTAGAACAACTAGTAAGGTCTCGATTAAGCGAACGCGTAAACTCGCATCGGTATGAATTGTATAGGAATGTGAATGAAAGCATTAAAAAGTAGATAATAAATCCGACTTTCAAAAATTTTTTATACACTATGATTAGTTTATCTTGTTTAGTTTATTTTAATTATGCCAAAGCATGCGAGGGCTACCTGCCGAATATACATTTTGAGACTACATAATAAGAGTAAAAGAACATTAAACGAAATTGTAAAATAAATAAAGAAAGAAATATTAAACTAAGATTGATCAATTATTTTATTATTAAAATTTATAACATATTCCAAATTTACGCAACTTTTACAAAGTTAACAAAATTAATCAGACCATGGAATTAATCAAAAGTTTCATTATATACAATTTTCTGAAAAAACGTTGTGAAACATTTTCAATATAAATGTACAGCTAATACATATGTATAGTACTTTAAACTAAATGTAAACTTTGGAGCAGAAAACTCGCTTTTGCTTGAAATAAAACGTAATAGTAAATTGCGACGCAGTCTGTACTAAGCAACGAACGCTCATTTTTCCCTCAGAAAAATTCTTCCATGCCTTCCCTTTGGAGGAAAGGGGGCAAAATGAGAATCCTTTTAACATTGATCAGCTGACTAAGTCTAAGTTTACTGTTTCTTATATATGATAGCATCCATGGGAAGTTCAACTGTAAAACGATACAACATTATGAAAATGTTCTCTATTTATAATCAACGTCAGTCGGCATCCAAAACTCATAAGAATCATTATAATGTATTTTTGCAAAAGGAAACAGTGATGTATTTAATTCTTATCCTTATTTTGATAATATTTGACATTATTTTCATTTAATTGTTGCGCTGTTTAGTAAATGTCTTACTTTACGTGATTTTTATGCGTTACGATAAGTGTTGTTCTGCATATTTTCATTTCCGTATATACAAGGAAGATACCAAACTGGGGTTTCTCTACGAACTTCTTTTCCTTTTTCGAGATTTTCGTCAATTTCCTGGGATACTGGAAGTAGTTCCTTAGGTTTCGAAATTTCTTGATACCTTATTACACAAAGTGTTCTGGAATTTCGCCAAGATCCCTTTCCTGGAAAAATGCAGAAAGATTCATTTGAGGAAACTTGACGATAATGCATTCACGGAAAAACATATATCCTTAGAAATGTCACTATATATTCAAGAAATAAAAATACGAAATATAACGATTGTAAATATAAAAATTCAAACAAAAAATAAAAGGACACAAGAATACAAAGAAAAATACACATAAAATCAGAACGAAGTTTGTCTCTAGAGCGTCTCTATCTTTATAGTGAGCGCATGGCCGAGAGGGCGTAATGAAAACGAAAAGAAGAGCCAGTAAGACTCATAAGAATGAACCATTTAACAATAGAGAAAGTACGGAATTCGTTTCAGTGTAGGAAATAGTTACATAGAATTAAATGTTTATGCATGCCTGTGTACTTAAACAGTTAACAGAAAAAATAGTGTGTTGTAGACTAATCTTAATAAATTTGGCCACGAAAGAAAATGTGAAATTTAAGTTTTGCTTTAAACAAACTATATTTTTTCACAGTTGTTTTCTAATAGCTGTAATCAAAAGAGACTTTTTTGCTTACATTGATATATTGATTCAGCATATAAATATTTCTTATATTTTATATGTTGTTGTTGCCTTATGTTCACTTGTCTGACATAATGACAGTGTGGTTTGGCTCAGTTCCGCACCCTCATTCGATGGACAGCACCCCGGGGGACGGGTCCGAGGGTTTCTCAGCCCTCTCCTCTTCCAACAAACCACACGAGAGAACTTTCGGCTCTCCTTATATTTATAGTGTCGCGTTTGTCATTGCGACACTCAACACGTTTTTACTCTACACTCTGCTCTCACTACGACACTCTACACTCTACTATTTTTTGTCTACATATTCACTTTTTGCTTTCAAGAATTATTTCCCACATTATATTCAAATTGAAGATTTTTCCCCCCTGGAAATATTGGGGACAGGTTTGAATTCCCAGAAATAAAACGTTAATAAAAAGCTCCGGTTTTCTTCCAAAATTAAATTCTGATTTTCCTAAAAAGGAGCTCATATCTGAAAACTAATTGTTACGGAGGTTTGATTTAGATAAGAATTATAAAACAGAGTGGACTGTAATTTAAAATAGGAATTTATTTCCGATGCACAGGTTGCATAGAACAAAGTTGAAACTCCACTAATTGCTGGAGCTTGAGCAGATACAGAGATAATATTGATACATCCACACCACTACAGCACGCTCCTCGTGATTAGTGGTTGCGCTGCGATATACACTAATTAAATTCAAATGTAATTATGCAAAAGCTGGAAGCATGCGTGAATAACAGAAGCTAATAAGTATCCACTTTCTTTTGTTAGAAAATTATCAGCCATTCATTGAATAATGAAGAGCTAATATTTGGAGTTTTCTGAATATCACATCAACTGTTTTATAAGCGACTGCTAAAGCTTGCTGTTGTTAGTAAAACGTTCAGTACATGTAATGCAATAAAAGAGGCTCTATATCAGTGACTACAGATTTAGAAGAAATATTTTCAAAAAAAATGCAGATACCACTAGAGTGCTAATGTGTTTGCTTTGATCTTAGTGGAGACTATGTCCAAAAAAAGAAACATTTTCAATCCAATTTGAGCATATTATATTAATGAAAGAAAAATGTCTCTTCTTTTGTTTACATCTTACAGCACGTTTCTGACAGCGAAATAGAAATATATCTATGCAGAACATTCAGCCGTTGTTTTAAAAGACTTCTCAAGCATTTTCGGTCATTGGGCAAACATTCCGAAAGTTCGATGGGTGATACTTTGAAGAAGGCAAATGCTTTCCATATTTCACAAAAGAAAGATAATCCTGCTAATAGGTCCAATGTCCCTGATAAAGAAATCTAGAGAATACCCAGCGCACGTTATGCATACTTACTTCTATTATTATGTTATCTTCTTGATTGAATAAATGCGCACATGTATAAAACAATAGTAAAGAGTAGTTAAATAAAGTAGAAAAGTATGTACGTAAGCATAAACATTTGCAAAAGTCATGTGCTTTTGAACAAAAATATATTTCCTTACATTACGTGAACCACTTATTTTAAATAAGAACTGGAAAAACTTTATCTTTAATCATGATTTGAAAACCTTTCGTGATATTTAAACTTTTTGTTTCAGTTCACATTCCTTCACACAAACACCTTTAACTGATTTAATGTACAGCAAACCCATTTAAACGACTGAACCCACGCGGGGAAACAATTTACCAAATCACGTAATAAAAATCGCGTCATTTAACGCTTTTCCCTCAATGACCATTTTCTAAAAATCATTTGCTGTTCTAGACTTTGTCCTCTGAGAAGAAAGAGGACGTACATAATGCATTACGGATTCTTCCAAAGACTTCATTGAGGGCCGCACTTCAGATGGCAGTGCTAATGTCTCCCGTAATGACACTGTTGATGAAATTCTCAAGGGGTTTTGCCTGTGTTCTCTTGCCTTCGATTTTAAGATACTTACTTGGCGAGAGGAAGTTAGACAAAGGGGACGAGGGAAAATGAGTCTTCTTTCAGTTGTCGCCAGATCGATTAGAACACTGGTCGATGGAATTGAAGTGTTTGGGGCAAAGAACTTACTTTTTTGTGAAATCTATAACGTTAGATTTGTTTTCTGTCGATTTATCTTTACCTATACCCGAACTATGCTTTGTTTAATAATTCCGTTTAGATTGTTACAAATTTATGATGAAAATATTTTTAAAACTTATATAGGAAGCTCAGAAAATTTTTAATATAAGTTGAGGCATAAGTTAATCAGTTTTCCTTCAAGAAAACATGTCAAGCTGTTAGACATTAAATTTGCTCTATTATGCTGTAGGGCATTAGGTTATTTTGAAGCCGGAAACATGAAACATGTACAATGCCCTCACCAGGACTCGAACCCTGAACCTCACGAATACGCGCCAAGTGCATGAAGGCATGCTAGAAGGAGAGAAATAATACCTTATAAAATAATTACACACGCAAATCCAAATAACCAAAACGTCAAATTAATCAATGTAATGTAAAGATGTTCCTTCTATATTTCATAAAGTTAAGTGCTTTAATATAATTTTATCTAAACAATATAAAAGTTAAATATAAAGTGTTTTCTTCAAGCAAGAACGTAACTTACAATTATTTTGATAATACAATTTTTGATGTATGATTTTAGCGTTAAAAATAAGTTAAAACTTAAGTTTGTTAAAACTAAATAGATATTATAAAAATATATGTTATATTATATACTAGTTATATATATATATATATATATATATATAACTATATATATAAACTGTATTGTATATTATATAGATAGATATAGATATAGATATAGATATTTAAAATAATATTGATTATTTCTCTAGTAAGATTAATTATAGTAGAATATCTGAAAAGAGTGAATCCATACTTAGTAAGTTCTATTCGAAAGAGGTATGAAGTAACTTGAATGTAAAATGTTAAAAATGTTAACGGGGACTTGAATTAAATCATGAATAAACAATTTCAATTGAAAGGAAAAATTAAAAGCAAGTAATTAATTAAATGCGGTAATCATTGCATTGATCGGAAATTAGTGACTTTTCAAGGAACAAACAACTCCCGTCAATGAACAATAATTAAGAAATAAAACGAAGGTGTTTCGTCCTTACTCGAGCAATAAGGCGATGCCAACCGGCAATTCAAGCTAGGTCAAACATTATGTGAATAGAGGGTCACGACCAATGCAGAGAACCAAAGAACATTCCGATTAAGCTAAAATTAAATTAGCTTGTGATGTTGAGAGGCCCCAACTTGTCAGTGATAGTAGTAGTGACTGCTATTGAACTGGAAATTACACAGACTCTTAAGAAGGGTTTAACTCCGTTTTATTTCACTTTAGAAGTCACAGTGCGTTCACTCGACGCTCAAAACTACGCCGACCGCGGTTTTAAACAAAATAGGAAAGTACAACAAAAATTAATGACAGGATGCATAACTAACGAAGTCACTATACGAGGCTCTATGATTTTAACTATTAACCGCGTTCTAGATACAGCTGAGATTCAGCAAACGTTCTAATTAAGAAGTTGAAAGATTCAATAACTGCCGAGAGGCAACAAGCCGAACGCGCGGTTCTTAAATTTTACCTAGCAACCTTCACGCTGGTGAATCAGAAGCACACTAAATTCTTTCCCTTCTATTAACTCAAATTCTTCTGCTAAAAATTGAATACTCGCGCGTTCTACTAAAATTTACTACTTGGCATTGACAATTCCAGAGTAAAGTAAAGGCTTGACAGGAAAGATAGCTTAAACTTAAAATAAATGTTAGTTAAAATAAATATAAACCCTACAAGGTAAACTGCTTAATGCAGAGAATGCAAAGAACTAAGGCAGAAAATGCAAAGAACCAATGCAGAGAACCAAAGAACTCATTCCGATTAAGCTAAAATTAAATTAGCTAAACTGCTTAATGCAGAGAATAAAGAGAACCAATGCAGAGAACCAAAGAACTCATTCCGATTAAGATAAAATTAAATTAACTAAACTGCTTAATCGGAATGATTTGGTTTCGCATTGGTCTTAATTCCTTCTATTCACGGAAATGTTGGCCTAGTTGAAATGCCGTTTGCATCGATTATTGCTCGAGTAAAGGAGAAACACCTTCGTATATTTTAATTATGTTCATGAAGGAGTTGGTTTGTTCCCTTGAAAGTCAATAATTCCGTCATGCAAGTTACTGTTAATTAATACTGCTTTTAATTTATCCTTTCGCAAAAAAAAAAAAAAAAAAACAAAAAAAAAAAAAAAAAAAAAAAAAAAAAAAAAAAAAAAAACAAAAAAAAAAAAACAAAAAAAAAACAAAAAAAAAAAAAAAATTTTTTCAAGTTACTTAAATCTTCGAAATAGAACTAATAAGTATGATTCACTCTTTTCAGATAATTCTACGCTAATAATCTTACGAGGAATATAATCAATATATTTAGAATAAATTTATAACTTATTTGCAGCAATGCGCAAGTAGTAGAATAACCGATTC